CGCACAACCACCCCAAGCTGCAGCAGCTCTGGCTCAAGGCGCACTACGTGGAGGCCGAGAAGCTGCGCGGGCGGCCGCTGGGCGCCGTGGGCAAGTACCGCGTGCGGCGGAAGTTCCCGCTGCCGCGCACCATCTGGGACGGCGAGGAGACCAGCTACTGCTTCAAGGAGAAGTCCCGCGGCGTCCTGCGCGAGTGGTACGCGCACAACCCCTACCCCTCGCCGCGGGAGAAGCGCGAGCTGGCCGAGGCCACGGGCCTCACCACCACGCAGGTCAGCAACTGGTTCAAGAACCGGCGGCAGCGCGACCGAGCGGCCGAGGCGAAGGAGAGGTGGGTGCCGCGCGCCGTGCGGAGACCGGGCTCGCCCGGCCCGCCGTCCTCGGGGCTCGGGGGCGCGGAAGCCCCCCGGAACGCCTGCTGAGCGGGCGCGCGCGATCGCGGCGCCCCGCGCCCTCCCGGCGGCTCGACTGCAACTCCCGTCGTCTCCGGCCAGCAGGGCCAGCGTTGGGGCGACGGGAGCTGGAGTCCGAGGCTTCTGGAGGGCGCCGGGTTGCCCACCCCCGCGCGACGGGGATCCTGCTTTTACTGCGGTCAGCCTCGGAGCGAAAAGGAGCTAATCCGCTCTCCGGCCACAGCAAAGCGCTTTTCGGCTTTGCTGAACGCATCGCGGCCTGCGTCGTGTAATACGCCGCGCCTGCTCAGAGGTCAGTCCGAATTCAGTGAGATTTCTCCGCAGGGCAGTGGGCTGATAGGATCGTGCTCTTAACTCGGGCTGCGCCTATCTTATTGTTGTGACCTTACAAAGATGCGGCTGAAAGCGAGACTTTCCGGGCGTTTACATGCCTTCGGGACTGCACTCCGCGCGGCTTAGGCTGGAGTCTTGCCCGGCTCGCGATGAGCCCGTTGCTCTCAATGGGACTGGCGCCTGAGGAGGCCAGCCGGGTTGGCTTGTTCGGTGACGTGGCTCGCTCTGCTTAGCTGGACGCCCGGAGGGTGAATCTGCTCGTTCCGGCCGGCGTTGGAGGGCCACGAGGGGTTTTGTCCGTGCCAGGCCAGCGCGTCTTCAAAGGCGCGCCAAATGGCCCCCTTTCGTCCCCTTCCTCGCATGCTCGGGCATTGGGTGGGGTGCGCTGGGCGGATGGGGATCTGCCCGTATCCTGTAGCAGAGGGCAGCCCCTTGAAGAGGGGCCGAGGCCTTCTTCCCCTTGCTCCTGGAGCGCCGCTCAAATCAAGGCTCTGGCCTCGCCTGGGTGGAATTTCGAGGGAGCAGGAACACTGCCCGGCCCAGCCGTGGCAGCGCTTCTCCGGAGGTTCCGCTGGCGCCTTCTCTGCCCCTCTTCCCATTTCTCCCTTCCCTGTACCCGTCTGGCGATTCTCGCACTTCCAACGCGCTGCGCCTTCCCCCGCGAACCTCCATCCGCCTCGCTTATTTCTGCCTCTGCTTTTCCCCACGCGTGTGACTTTCCGTCTCTGCCACTCGCTCCAGCAAATTCCCCATCCGTGCCTGCCGGGGCCGCGCTCGCCCGCGCAGCAGGATGGCAAATAAACACCCGAAAGTGGACAAGAGTAATGGAGGGGGGATACGGACTGCCCCCCGTTGTTTATGGCTCCTCCGGGTTTATTGTAGGGTCAAACGGCTCCAGACGGGTTTGTTGTGTCTCAATTTGGCATTCTTTGAAAACCAAAAGGAAACTTCGGGGCGAAGTGGCCAGCCATCGTTCCCCTTGCGAACGGGTCCTTCTTTTGGAATGGCCCTCCTTCACACAGAGCCCTTCCCCGCCTTTGCCCTTCGGGTTTGGAGGTCACAAAGGTGAGGAGAGAGATGGAGAAGCTGGAAGGGAGTGGCTGCAGCTAAGTCGTCGCCCAACGGGCTTACTCAGAAGTAAGCATGGCTGCGTCCAGTTCTGCTTAAGCAATGTGCCCGGGACAGTTTTAAAAATGCCGCGAAAGTGTTTATGACTTTTAAAAGAAATCAGGAAAAAGTTAGGCGAGGGGTCAGCTTCTGGCAGATACGCACGGGGCGCGGGGGCAGCGGTCCCTGGCGCGATGGTTGCTTGGTTTGTTTTTGTCACGTTGAAGGCAAAACAGTGCGCTTTGGATAAAGGCGGCTGCGCCGTATTTCCCTCCGGAGCAGCCGCTGCGCGCCCCTGCTCACCTGCGAGCGAGCCCTCCTGGCTCAGGGGAACCCGGTCCTGAAGGCTCCTGGGAGCGATCGTGTCCGTCATCGCTCGCACGCCGCGAGCGGGCTAATAAAAGGAGCGAGTTTGCGGGGAGTCGTTTGTCTTCCTTACGACTCTAGCCACACCCCAGTTAACTGGAAGTACTTGACTTTAAGACGGTTTACATGTGTTTGGGATTAGGGTGTCAGTCCCACTGATGGGTCCCAGATCCGGGACTCAGTTCAGAGATGCGCTCCGTAAGGTCGCCCGTTGCGCGCGGCCCACGGAAAGTCGGTGGCCCGTCCTTCCTTCCTTCCTTCCTCGCCGACGCCACGGCACCCACGCGCGTGCTGGCGCGTCGCAGAGGAGAAGGGAGAACAGCGGTCTGTGCCGCGGGAGGTCGCAGTCGCCGCCGCGGAAGCAAAACAGCGGAGGAACGGAAGATCCCGGGCGCGGGAGGCGAACTCCGGGCCGCATCGTGGGTTGACCCGGGGCTAAACGCCGCTGTCGCGGGCGAAGGGCTGGACGCGCTCGGCTGCGGCTTCCGAGGCTGCAAGCGACGTCTGGAAGAGGAGAAGCCCCCGCCGCCGCGCCGCGACTGGGCATCCGGTTAAAAGTTCCCCTCCGCTTGGCGAGCGCGGCAGGACGAGGAAGGAAGGGGTCGCGGCTTGCGGGAAGCCGGCCCCCTTGCTGCCCCGGGAGATCGCCCGCTTTATCTTTGCGTACAGGATATTGTCCCGCAGATATGTCCACCCCCCCCCGCCGTCTTTCCGCAGTGGCCTGCGGGCAAAGCAAGGCGCAAGATGTTTCTCCTGGAGAGACCGGGCACGGTTTCTTTAACCAACAGCACATCCAGTTAGTTGTGAAACGAGATCACTATTTAACAACCTTTGTAGAAGTACTAAAAGGCCAAAGAAAAAATGCCTGTATGAGAAACAAGAGACCTAATGCAGCCATGTTGGCTTCTAGCAACAGCAGCAGAAAAAGAAAAGGGGGGAGGGTAGAGGAAAGAGGGGCAGGGAGCACTCAGTGTCCAGCAAAAAGGCCATCATCCGTTGCACACTTATAATTATGTCATGTGAATGCTTCTTGAACTCTGAGAAAACATGCCTCGCATCAGGGCTGCAGATCACAACATTTTCACAGGCAAATATGCCAGAGCTGTAATTTCAGATACAGCGAATTTGGGAATGTGCCAGAAGGACTTTACTTCTTCTGAGCTCATACAGGAACCAACTGCTACTCCAGGCAAGCCTCTTTAAGACGGCTGTCATGTGTGAATGCTGCTAGTGTGGGTCAGAAAGCGAGGAAGAGCATCTTTTCACAAACATAAATGACCCTGAACGGAAGGTAGTTTTAACTTTCGTGTTGTTATAAATCAGTAACTCTGCATTTCAATAACTGAATATGCATTTTAGCCAAAGCTAGGATGGTTTTTCACATATTCAGGCACTCCTGTGAATACTCTTAACTGTGAAATCAGAACTTGCTTTTTTGAAAATGCCGATGCCAACGATTCTAACTGAGAGCATTATCCATTAAATGGCAGCTCAGAGGTAGGCTCCAGTAGACCTTAGTATCAGATAAGTTGGCACAGGATTAAAACCTTAAGTGTTCACTTCCTCCGAAAATACCGAAATGGAACAACTTATGGCTTGCGAAAATAGTCCTTAAAATTGATTTCTAGTTGCTTTTTAGTCTGCATCAATATCATTCAGATGCATCCTGGCCTGCAAAACCAATCCAGCTTTAAAAAAAAAAAAAATCCCCCCATCTTCAGCTCTGCAAACAGTTCCTCAAGAAAAGCTTTCCTCTTTTTCTTGTCGATGTGCTGTACGAACGGGCGGGAGACAGTTCTCTGCAGCTGTCTAAATAGGCGAGCAAGCATGGCAGCTGCGTCGATGAAACCATTATAAAAATATGAACCGAAGCTCTTCGGAGAATTATAAAACTTCGTCGGGTTTCTCTTCCTCCGAACTGCCCACTGCAATATAATTCATGGACACGATCCTGCTGGAGTTTAAGCACAGGTAGAGTAGACATGTTGGGATTTGGCTGATAAAAACCCTCTGAGCTCTGTCGGGGAAAGTCGCGTTTCTCCTTGAAATTAAGAGGATGCTGCAAAAAGGGTTTTCTTTGGGTCCGGCCCTGAGCACTCGCCTGAGTTCCTTGCGTGTGTGCGAGGGAGGGGTGTGTGCGTAGCGCCCATGTCACAGTCTCCCTGTTACAGAGCATAATGGATTGTGATGAAGGGTGTCGGATAAATGGTGGAAATACAACTGATCTTTGTGCAGCGAGAGTTGCAAACCAATTCCGGTTATTGTCGGTGGGGAACCCCTTAATCCGGATTCAGAAACGGAGTTGGAAGAGTTGAATGAGCCTTTTCCTCTCAATCTTCTTAATGTGTCCTAATCCGGATTCTGTGGTTCTTCCCGGGCAAGAACGGAATCGGTGTGGAAAGGGCACCGCACCCATCAACGCCGATCGTTCGAGGTGCTGAAGAGGAATATTCCGCTCTGGCTGGGCCAGAGCGGGAGGGTACCCCGCGGCGTGCCTATTCTGCATGGTGGGGAAAAGGTGCCAGAAGCCAGAATGCTTTGCCCCCAAGGGGACGTGCAAACGGGCTCACTCGGGTGCACCGGAGGCATCCCGTGAATCCGGTGAGACGCCTTCCCAGGGTTTTAGACGCTCCCACGGGAATCGCAAGCCCTCCACGTGGGTGTGACACGCACCGCGCGGGCCAGGCGGCTCTTGGACCCTGCTTCCCAATGCGCTGGTGGCGGGGGGGGGGGGCGACCACCGCTAAAGACCACCGCCTGCGGTGCGAGCGTCCCGTCCCCAGAATCCTTGCCAAAGAAAGACCCCCTGGCCAATTTTGGCATGGCAGGGGTACCCAGAAAAATCACTCGGCTCCACGTGGCAATTACTAAAAGTAAAATGAGACTGGAATCTATTTAAATATGGCTACCTAGAGATTTGCGCCGAGGGGGAGTTTGAGAGTGAAAAGAGCTCCGGGGGCTCCCTACGGCTTCCATGCTCCACGTGCTTGCTCGGGAGTAAGCCTCGTTGACCTCGATGGGTCTTGCTTCCAGTGAAAGCTGAGGTTATGGAGAAGCAGCGAGCCGTTCGAAGCATGGCGTTCGTTCATGTCAAGAGCTAGAACGGTGCTGCAGGTCGGTGGAGAAACTGGGCAGAGGTGTGGGCTTTAAAAATGGGGATAATTAGCTTTTATGGGGCTGGGTCGAGAGACTGTGGCACTTCGATCCAAGGAAATCGGTGGGCTCAAGCTAGTCAGGACGAGCTAGTGTCATTGAACTCAATAGGCCTACTCAAACTGGATCTAAGCCAGAGCTGTGTAATAAAAAGGGGCAGAGCTCGCCTGCTTTCTGGCTGGTCGGTGCAGGGCCGATCGCGTGATCTGCAGCATCCAGGGTGGGTTTTACCACGCAGCAGCTGCGCCTCGAACGGCCGGCCGAGCGCTTGCGCGTGTGTGTGACCCAAGAGGTACCCTGAAACAGACACCCTTGGTACACACACACACACACACAAACCTGGGCGCAAGTTCCACTGAGCCGGATTAGGCTGCATGGTTTTTTGTTCTGGTTTGAAGCCAGTGCACTTTTGAGAAATGGGGATCAATCACCATGATTCATGAAGCGCAGGATAGCTCATTCTCTGCTGCCATGATTTTTCACCTTGCTCCAGTATTATCCGCCCCACTCCTGTTGGAGTGGGGGGCAGCATATAAATACAGGAACAAACAAATAACTTTCCAGCATTAATTGGTCAAAAATAGTTCAAGCGGAGTCTTGATATTAGCACATGTTCGTCCTGTCATTTCGGTAGGACAACCTGTGCATTTCTCTCAATGATTTTCAAAGACTTCTGTTTGAAGTAAGGCCCACTGAACTGAGTAGGAGTTACTGCTGAGTAGCCCCTTCTAGACTGCATTACACACTTTGGCTTTAGTGGATCCAACCGCTTCTCCCTTGTTTGTGCTTTCAGTTTTTATATTTTTAAAGGTATATGTTTTGTGCTTTTTTTTGAAGTGAGACCTAAATCATATTTAAAAATAATTCTGAAAGCAAGTTCAATTATCCTCCCCTTTTCTACCTTCAGCTGTGGATGCAAGTCCTGTCCATCTCAGTGGAGCACACTTAAAACCTTGTGTAAATTCACACGAGTAGTTAAGCAGATCGAGGGGCCAGTGTGATAATCAAGCCAAGTTCCCGGAGTTTCCTTTTCCCTCCATCCCACGACACCCTGCAGGTTCCAGCTCTAAGTGTGTGAAAACAGCACCCTTACAAAGGGTGCGCTTCTGCATGCACTGAGTTGGGAGTAAGCCCCCTGGCGCTCTGTTGCGGTTACTTCCGAGTAGACGACGGTGCTGTTAATTCTGCACGATTTCCTCAGCCCTGTGCCTGAGGGGCTCCCAGTTCAGCCTGCACGAGCAGCCTCAGCGTCCGTGCTCCCGTGCAGGCTTCCTCTGGAGGCAAGCCCGTTGCACACAACTGCGCGTAATTCTTGCGCGGGGATGAGCCCCGGCTGCGCACAGCAACCGGCGGATCCATGCCTGTCTGTCTGTCTGTCTTGGAAAAAAGAAACCTGGGAAAGAGAGGCCCTGTGTGGATAAACCATCCCTTGAAAGGCTGCTGTGAGGAGCTGCTGAGGGGGGCTGGAGCGGGAGGATTTGGGATGGGCGACCAGCCGCATGGGCCACCCTGAGAGGGAGCTTCCCTTCCGACCCTGCGAGCAAAAGGGGCGAGGGACCTGCGCCGGCACGAGGGCTGGGGTGGCCTGGTGCTTTTGCAGCAGGCTGCCAGGCTCTCGATTGTTTATCGGTTCTGTCCTGCTTATCTCACCTTCCTTCCAGGGTGGACCTCCAGGTGGGCTCCCTGGCAAGCCCTGCCCGGGGCTACCTGCCCGGCTCGGTGGCTCGCCCGCTCCCTCCCCTCCCCTCCCCTCCCGCCGCTGCCACTGCCGGCCTGTGACTAACCGCGCCGCCTTCCTCTGCCGCTCTCTTCCCAGGGAGAACACGGAGAACAACAGCGCTTCCACCAACCAGCAGAACCAGCTGTCTCCCCTGGACGGGGCCAAGCCGCTCCTGTCGAGCTCGGAGGAGGAGTTCTCGCCCCCGCAGAGTCCGGAACAGAACATTCTCCTGCTCCAGGGCAACCTGAGCCACGCCAGGAACTCCAGCTATTCCTTGACCGGTTTAACAGCCTCCCAAACGACCCACGGCCTCCAGGCCCACCAGCACCAGCTGCAGGATTCCCTCCTCGGACCCCTCACCTCCAGCCTGGTGGACTTGGGTTCATAATCCCGAGCGAGGCGACGGGACGGGACGGGACGCCTGCCGTGCGTGCGGCGGTCCTTCCTCCCGGAGGATAAGGGGACGCGAGCAAGACAGGTCTTTGTTCTTCTTCACTTCGTTTGCCCAGACCTCACCCGGCGAGTCTGAACAGTGACTTTAAACCGATCTTTTTTGAGGCAACCCTTCTCTTTCTCACTCCCACCCTGCCTGGCAAAAGCTCCTTCCCGACTCTTCTGATCCAGCGCTCCTCTCGAAATGTCTTAGCCCCAGCCCGAGATAACACCCGTCCACACACATACACGTGTACACCTTTCTGCCTCCTCTGCATCTGTGCTTCTTCCGATGTACTTATCCAGCTGGAATAAAATGAAATCGTCTGTAAAAGAAGGGGGGCACCACCCAGCCAAGTTAAGCACTTAAGCCCCATGGATTTCGGGGTGGGGGGGGGAGGTTGAGCTTCAGGGACTTGAAAGTGCCTGGCCTTGGCTGGATCCTGTCTCTTCCCTTCCCATTAGAGGAGAAATCCACATCTATGGCAAATATTTTACATCAAGGCCCTAAGCATTCTTTCTCCAAAATATTACGAAGGTCGAAGGAGACTCCTAAGCATGTTTACTTAGAAGTGAGATAAACAGGGCTCTCTCCCCAGGCGTGTGATTCAGCAGGGTGACTCTCTAGCAAGGATGCTTAAGGGATGTATTTTAACAGAGGGTGGGGGTTGGTTGTCCTTAAGGGAAAAATAAGGTAGTGTACCAAAAGTGTTTATTTTGAAAGGGAGATCTGGAGAGGGCAAACCACGTTTACATTTTTTTTCCTTTTTGGTCAGATGTAGTGTTCTGAAAGGATTTTAAAGTAGCTTAAAAATTAATAAGAATGATGCAGTATTAGGTGAAGAATGTAAGTGCCTATGTCTTAATGCAGATATGTGAGGGCTTTCTTTTAGAATAAGGTTGTGATGCGACCACACGTTCATGTCAGTCATTTTTATGTTTGTGGTGAATATAGGAAAAGAATCTATGTGACTTTTTAAAAACACACAACAACAAACTTGGAACAATTTACCTGGACATTTACCCACAATCCATTCTTTTTATAGGTTTTCTTTCTGTTTCACTTTGTCTCTTTCCCCCAGTAGTTTGGCTTGTGAAAGGTATGCAGAAAACAAACAAACGGGCAATTTGATTTTGTTACTGATAGCAGCATGTTTTCCTTTCCAGGTTTCTTGTACCCAAGGAAGTCTAAATTAAAACATGATAAGAAGATTGAAAGTCTGCCTTATTATCATTTTTATTTATGCATGGATAAGAGGGCTCTATAAGAGCCTATATTCTCCCCTCTGGTTGTCCACATTCTGTTGTTCTGTCTATGCCTAAAGCTTACTGGGGCTGGGGTCTAAAAGCCGTTTACTTCAGAGTGATCTTCTTAACGTTCAGGGAAGGGTCTTCGAGAATTTGGAGGGTGGGGGGAGAAGTTAAAGCCAGTTCAGTCGCTCTCCCAGGCAGAGGATCCCCTTTTAAAAGGAGGTCTCTTGGCAAGCACTTAGAACGCATTCGTGGTCCGGGAGAAGCAACAGAAGTGGCAAGCGCGGGAAGGCTGGAATCACCCATCGAAATCTTCAGGGCTCTTCGCTGGAGGGAGCTAAAGCCAGGCCCCGAGGAGCTCCGTGGAGCCAGTGAGTCATTTAGGAACAGCTTAGCGGGGTTCATCCGCCTCGCTGGGACTTGCTTTCGAGCAGACTCTGGATTTGGCGCAGCTCAGACTTGACTCTGAAGACCGCCTGCGCCTCTCCTGCTCGCTCGGGGCAGAGCGCTGCGGAGCTTCTCGTACGTGGAAGGCTGGATCCACCGCTGGTCTCGCACGGCGCCGGTCATTTCGGTGGGTCTACTCTGAGTAGGACTTGCGTCTGAGCGCGCGAACACAGCTCGGACGAGGCCCGAAGCCCTCCCCGCTCCCGGACCGGACCGGACCGGTCCTTCGCATCCAGGTCGGCCTCAGCTGGGCTTCGCGCTCCGGGGCCAGAAGGTGTCCCGGCCCCGCGTGGAAGAGGCGAGGCTGCTCCGGCTCCCCGAGAGCCCCCGGAGAGGGGCGCCGTGCAAAGGCGCCGGCGGGAGCCCCGGGCGCCCCCGGAGCCCCCGACTCCCGCGGCTCCCCTTTGCGCGGGAGCACTTCTGAGCGCAAGAGCAGAGTTTTGCGCAGGGAAACCAGCGTGTGCGCAACGCCGTCGCCCTGCTGCGCGTCCGGCTGTTTAACCGGGCAAGCGCCGCGGGCCTCTGCATGCAGCTTTCCCGAGGGCGATCGCACGTGTGTATTCAGATGAACAGGACTCACACCGAGCTGTGCGCCACGGGCAGCCGGCGGCTCTTGCTCCCCAGAGAGTCCGCTGAAGCGCGTCGCGTGAATCTCTCCACGTTTCCCCGGAAACGAATCCCGGGAAACGAACCCTGCTCGTGTGTAGGCAGGGGACCAGCGTCCTCCGTCCTTGGACGGAGCCCAGAGTCGCAGGAGGGAACAGGGGAACCGCGTGCCTCTTTGGCTCTTTCCCCACGTGGTGTCCTCCAGTTTTGCAGGACCACAACTCCCAGCATTCCACGCCAGCCACGTTTCTCAGCCATATATAAGGTTTCCTCCTGGCAGCCCCTTATTGGAAATGAGCGGATTTATTATCTTATTATTACATTTATCTTCCATTTTTTCCCCCTCTGGCAAGGAACTCAAGGCAACTCTGCCCACGCAGCCCTCCCCCTCCTTTTTATCTTCACAACAACCCTGCGAGGGGGTTGCACTTTAAATCAGTGTCTGGCAAAGTCACCCAAGTGAGCTGCAGGGCTGAGGGGGGGCTTGAAACCAGGGCTTTCAAAGCCTCGGTCCAACAGGGCTGTCAAGGAGGGCTTTCATTCATAGGGTCGCCATAAACTGGAAATGATTTGATAGCACATAACCGCTACAACAAACACCATTGGTCGCTTCCTTAAATTCCTTATTTTCTTCTGGAATGTTTATCGGAAACTTCTTCCTTTGAAGATGGAAATTTCATTCCACTCTCTTTGGACTGGCTGCACCACAGAAGCAGCAGAAATGCTGCTTGAAACGGATTTTATGGTATGGAAACTTATCGTAAACTTGTCAAAAGGAGGTGACTCTCCTGGGCTGTTCCAGACCTCGGTCAAGCCAACCTGCCTCTTCACGTTGCTTTTACTGTACTTCCTTCCCTCCCACTCCGTGCTTGGAGCTCACGAGCATCCTCTCTTCCTCCCTCCCTCTCCCTCTCTCGCTCTCCTGGTGGTGTTTTGCATCATTAAGTGCTTCTTTATCTAAGTCTTGGCAATATTGACTTTGCAGGGCCTGCAGGATAGGAGGAGGGAGGGAAAGGTCTCTGTGTGTGCGCGCACACACACTCACACACTCTCACAAGGAGACGACCATCCATATGGGCCACATTCTTCTGATTATTATCTTTAACCCCACAATACTTCAGGCTGTCACTCAACGATGGTATCCTGCGATGCTCAACGAGCTACAGAGATCCGGGCAAAACAGAGAGGAGGAGCTGCCTGCAGCGCTAGCTCAGGCTGTGTGTTCTCCCAATCAAGCTGCGCACCCCCCTGCAGGAAGAGCCCTGTGCACGAAGAGGTGCCGCCTGCCTGGGGCTCCTGCAGGCTGCCCACCCCCAAAGCTTGCAGACAGCCATGGATGGTGTTTAGGGAAGGAGCCATTAAGTTGGGGGGCTGAAATTTTCTCATGCAGCCCTGAATCTTGGGGAAGCCGCCTGCCCCACAACCCTGCTGTTCAGGGACTCTGAGGATCTTGTGTGCATCTGATCTCCCTGGATCAACTTTTTTTTTTTTTTTTTGCCTGCATGTGCTTTGCCTCCTGTCCTCCCTGCCAGCAAATTTTTCCGCCTGAGATTTTTCCTGAATCGAATGCCCTCACCTAGGGGTGTCCTTGGGAAACTGTCCATTACAGACATGCACACAGAGAGCCCTGTGGATTTGAGCCCTGAGATTTTGGTACCTCTCACCGACTTTCTTCTGTTCCCTTCTTCTAGAGAGAGGGAGAATGAGAGAGAGGGGTGGGCATGCGCCTGCTTCTTGCACTATTTTTCCTAGGGGGACATGGATGGAGTGGCGCCAGGAGAAGCAAACTCCCTTTTATTCCTATTTAGTGCAAGGAATGAAGTGTTTCATGAGCAAATGTGCGCATGTTCTTTTCTTCCCTTCAGGGCTGGTGCACAGAGCTGTGTGTCCACGTGTGCCCCCCCCCCCCATGTAGAAACGGTTGCAAAGCACAGAATGGCAGTGCCAGGCCAGCACAAAGAGAGAAGGGAAAAATCCCATCCAGGCCTGTCACTTCTGGGACCTGGTTAAGTCCAGGGTCTAAAATCGCCTAAGTCAGGGGTCTCAAACTCGCGGCCCGCGGGCCCATTGCCGGGACGGGCGGGACACGGGGGGGGGGGGGGCCTGCGGCCTTCAAAGCGCCAGCGGCACCCGGGCCAGCCTCCGGATGAGCGGCCCCCCACCACCGCGGGGGTGGAATACTTGATGCGGCCCAGCCTCACCCAGCCTCCACTTCCAGCGGCCCCCGGGTCAGTTGAGTTTGAGACCCCTGCCCTAAGTGAGCCACTGTACTAGACCGGATGCCCTCCAGAGGCGCTGGACTCCGCCCTGAGAGTTGTAGCCCAGCAAGTCCAGCCGAGGTGAGGGACGCTCATGGAGGCCATCCTCTCCTCTCCCACCGGCAGGCGAATTCTCCACCCGCTTGCAAGCCGAGCCTGCAAGGCAAGAGCTGCGGCGCCAGGCCTCTTCCCGCGTCAGGCCACTGCTCCCTCTAGCGGCAGATCTCAGTTCTGCAGGCTTTTCCACGTCATGTGCTCGTTTATCTCAAATCTGAAGCTGCATCTCCTGCGTGAGAAAACAACACCCGGACGCATGCGCATTGCCTGTCCTTGAGCGGCTGTCCTTCGGAAGGCGCTAGTCCGGTGGATGGTTATTTCCCACAACCCTTGGACACTCTAGGCAGAATATTTATTCATTCAGTTATGTACAGCGGAAAAACAACAAGCCCTCTTAAGGCAAGATTTTTGACCTTTACAATTTGCGAGCTGTTGTGATTAATAACCGCTTTGCTGTGGGGGACGACAATGAGGATGAATCGATTCCAATTAATAGGGCTAATGAGAGGCTAACAACAGGGCAGGCTGTTGGCCTCAGGAAGGGTTCAAGAGTCGTGCCCATTCTCTCTCCTGGTAGGCTTGGCTCTCCTGAAGACCGAACTATGACCCCTTCTTTTGTCCTCCAGCAGGGGGCGCTTTGGTTGTTCATTGGTAAATCATAGAATCATAAAATAGCAGAGTTGGAAGGGGCCAGGAAGGCCA